TGTTGTTTCAATCTTTTATATATCAGATGCAACTTGGAATGTATCTATAATGCATTTGAAAGAAATTGCTAACCCAGTATTCTATTTAACTGATTGCTAATCTAATCTTAAATTTGCAAATTAGTGCAGAGCTACAGGGACAGAATAATTGTAGAAGATGCTTATTGAATGAATTCTCAGATGGTGAAATGGTTGCAATTAAGCTAAATGTCATATTAAACAGAGCATAATTATTGTAGCAGTCCTTACTAAGCAATAACATACTTGTTAAGCAACTCTTATTGGGTTATCTATTTGAGATTTGATATTTAATGGTGTTTCATTCTGTCTGTAATACGTAATTATTGACTGAATTGCCTGCTTGCCTTACGCTTTTGTGACCTCTGTGTCAAAGAGCAGATGTCACTGTACCCATTCAAACATAATTATTGCATAATTGTAGGTGGCTCTAGCAGGCAGGAAAAGCAAATCAATGCCTGCTATATCAAATAAACACTCGTTTGCAGTGCTATATTGCTTGCTTCTAACTGGATTAGGGATGCTTCTTGGGCTAATTATATGGTTATCTTTCTGGTGGATAGAAGGTGGCAAACAGAACAAGGTGTAGGTTTTCTTTATTAGACTGAATTTATGAATTGCTTTCACCCCATAGTGCCATAGATGTCTTGTCAGAGATGGTGAGATGTCTACTTCATTGTGTGACTTCTAATTTTTATCAATAGTGATTCGGTAGACTTGATCTTCAGTTTACTCTTCAGACTAAGGGATTTGTGGCTTTTTTTTTTTTTTTTTAACTGAAAAACATTTTTTTTTTGGCATTGTAGTAAATCTTGTTGAACAATCACTGATTTTATTGGATACTTCTTTGTGGAATGTTACTAGATTCCAGGTAGGAACGAACAGTGCACAGTCATCTGGTTGAACCTCCTGCTCCGAGCAGGGCCAATATGGAATTTACACCAGGCACCTCAGGTCTGGAGGTCTTGGGAAGCTCCATGGAACCTATGTGACCACTGTGCCAAAGTGCTTGTCATCTTGTTAAACCCTCCAGTGTACTTCCAGGACCATCCAGTTTGATGCCAGCTTTTGCTTCAAAGGGACTTTGGTAAATTGTTCGCAGAAGAGTTTGATTATAGTCTTAAGAACTGGCTTCAGGGGCATAAATTCCACATAGCTTCCCTGAGATGGCATTCATAGAACATAGTCATTGGCCACACATGTCACTGACCATCTACTTTTTTCTTACTGCAAGTGGGTGCCTGTGGTCCCTTTCTATGGATTATCCTGCCTCCTGGAAACTGCTGCATCTCAGACATCTTTGTTTCAGTTTTCAACTTCTCTTGCTTGAATTCAGAGATCTTTGCTCCTGAAGTGTCCACCTAGGACACTTTCTGTTTCAGTGGCGGCATGAGACAGTGTGTTCATCTATTTTATCTTTATCTCTGTGTACTTTCATAGACTGATCAGCATGAAATAGATTTTATTTTATTTAGCCCTCTGATTTAACATCAGTGTCCTCCCAGCTGGGAGCTGTAATGCATCTTTTAAAAGTTCTACATTTTGGTGCGTAAGTTCTAGTGGGTGTTCAATAAAATGTTGTTCATACCACTGTTCACGTTCTGCTGAGATGCTTCTTTTAATTGACTCATTTGTTTTAAGGAAGGTGCAAGTTTACATAGCCACTCTAAAAAAAAAATAGTCAAATGCTAAGTAAAAAGCAGGCTGTTGTCTGGAAAGTATTTGTGTCCCTCTCCTCAGATAAGCTACTGAACAGGACATCTGACAAAGAAGTGAAACATTGTGGATAAGTTTAACTACTGCGTCCTGAAGTGATCATTGGAAGTGAAAAATTCTATCATAGCAGATTTGCATCTGATTTGCCACGCTTATTTTTTTCATTCTTTCTTTTGGTATGCGAAGAGTGGTCTAATAGGCTACATTTTTAGTGTGTTTGCCAGGGAGTAATCGCAAATTGTGATTTGTCTAATGATAGTGCAATTGCTCGTGAGTCCTTTCTTTTATTTGTAATTTTTCACTCTAAATTCACATCTGACATTAAATAACGGCCAATTCTTTCCAAGGCTTTTGCTGCATCTCTGTCGTCTTGTTAATGTCAGAGCTGGTAAATCTGCAGCTATTAAATAGAGTGGTTCATGAAGTACTGAAGAGATGAGTTCTACAGAGTAGTCAAAGAGCAGCGGTAGGTTTGGTGAGCTGAATTTGGCTAATCCTCTTCTTAACAGTGGCCTTTATTATTCTACGGGGATTTTAGTGGTACCTTGATATATAAAGTATGAATTTAAAGTCTTCCTGTCCTAAGAATTAAGTAGTAAATCCTAAATTGGTGTAGTGTGTTCCAAGCAATCCATGAGAAAAAAAAACAAAAAACAGTTATGCACTAAGCTGAAGTGAAACAAAATTGGTTATGAATTTTTGCTTTAAAAATGAAGTGCTGAAAAAATAATCTTTGCCTGTACTGAGAATTCCAAAACTCAAAAAAATGAAATTGCCATTGTTAAACTGCTTCAGAAAAGTAAGGACTGAAATAAGCTCATGATGCAGTTGCATTGTGTTGCCTCGTCTTTGTAGTGGTTACTTTCCTCTATTAATCAAAACCAATTAGTGTTGAATTTCAGCTATTATTTTTTTGTAAGATGCAGCATATTCATAATCCAATGTCTGTTTTTGAATCGTGTTGATATTTTATTGGAATAGCCTTTTAAATGAAGGTGACATGTCAAGAATGAGCTTTTAAAAAAGGCCACTTCATGTAATTGAACTAAACATAAAATTCCTTTTTTTTTTTTTTTTTTTTGAATCTTCAGGTTTTTAAGCCCATTTAATTATATAGAAAGTCACAACTATAACTAACATTAATTCATATAGTACAGTTTGTGAAGTACAGTGTAATTTGCTGCTGTGTTTTCCCATTCAAGTCGTGTCCTTGTCTTGCAGTGATATCTTTTGGTATGAAATACAGGAGGCATAAAAGGGGCAAAGATTTTTCACGTAGCCTGAAGACTGGATACATCAAAAGCTGCAGCTGTCTAGATCCTGGTGACTCTGAAAAACCTTCTTGCCTGCTGCCTGTTGACCACAGGAGGAGGTGACAGACTAAGGATAGGATTGCAGTCATAGCCTGGAGGATGAGGAAGGGAGAGCAGCCATGAAAGAGATGACTCCTGAGTCTCTGCTTTGTAAGTGCAGCCTTTGGGCAGTGAGATGCTGGCAAGAAATGGTGAAAAGGAAGGTGGTGGCATCACTGCCCACCTGCCTGGACAGTCTGCACTCCACATGTGCTCCCAAAGCTCCCTGCTGTTGAGGAGAGGCGGCTCTGAGGAGCTCAGAGGAGCTGCTGCACTGATCTGATCACTGTGTATGAGCTTGGGAATGGGGATGCCAGAGGAAGATCAGCAGTGATAGCTCAGTGGGACTCTTCAAGTCTGTATTTAGGTCACTGATCTTCCCCAATTTTCCTGTGCAGATGGAATGTGTAGTGGAAGAAACTGGCTATATCCTAACTGTTTACTTCACCTCTTATTGATGATGGAAAGGACATTGTTTATTCGTGCATTTGCACAATATCACGGCCTTGGCTCTAGGAGAGTCACTACTCTACCCATATAGGAAGAACAACAGGTTTACTTTCAGGAACATCGTCAGCTGGATGAAATACATAGGATTATAATTGCAGCCATTATGGGGGCTGTTTTGGATCTTATGTTCTTGTTTTCTTAGTGTAAGCTTTTAACTGATTCCGATGGTTTTAAAATCAATTTTGGAAAACTTAACCAGAGTAGCATTTCTTGATATAAATTGACCTATTTGTTTTAAGTTCATTTTCTGCCTTGAGAAAAATACAAAAGGCAGGGTTATTGCCGTGTACTTTCAAGCATAGATTACATATGTAGTTTTCTTACCAAGTGAAATGGTTCCGTTAAGTTGTTCTGGAAAGTTTTTAAACTTAGGATTGAGATGAGACTCTCTTGAGACATGATCATCAAAATCCTTTTAATATGCTAAGATTTGGCCTTAGTGCTTTCCGCTACCTTTTCTTCTCGTTCTAAAAGCAATTTTGTACTTTACAGCCCTTAGATTGTTTTGTGGACTTGGTGGATTTTGTGGAATAATATTTTTAGAGAAAAATCTTTCTGCTTAGCCTTGTCTCATTTACATTCACTTAGAAATCTTTAAATAACATTCGTATAGTTATATATGTACGTTCATGTGCTCTGGAACTAAAAATGGGATTGCTGGGTTTAATTTTGATTCCGTTTCTCTTGCCAAATGACCAGCTAAAGCCCCACCTGTAGTGTCACGTACTGCAAATGGAGATACCTTGCTCCAGGTAATTCCCTGACTAATGCAGAAGGTGAGGGACCTGTTTTGCTGTATGGGGATCTGTTCACAAAGCAGCACCCTGCAGGACCCACTGTGCACCATCACGTAACTTCACTTCCTACATTTTCAGGTCCTTATAAGAGCATACTCTTATCCCTGTGGTATTTATCTGCACCACTTTATCACCGCGGACAATAATTCAGCTGCTTCCCAGAGCAGTTTATTCCACAGACTAATTGTCCTATTAAGAATGTTTTCACCTTATCTAACTTGACTTTCTCCTCCTATTAGATTATTGTTCCTTTATGATCGTTTTTATATGCATTTGTACAAGCGGAATTAAATATTCATATTTCCTCAGGCTTTGGGTGCATTTCCCTGTTGCAGAAGCATGTCTGGTTTGCCTTTAATTTGAGACATTGTGGGGCCAATGGGAAGTGGCATTTTTTTCCAGGTTTCAGGAACCAAATATTGGACCCATGTGGATACATGGGAAAGAGGAGTGACATGTGGGCCTTTGGAGACATTTCATAGAATGGCTTGGATTGGAGGGGACCGTAAAGACCAAGTGGCATTTATTTGGTTTTAGAGCTGAGCTGATAGTTACTCATTGTTTAATGGGTGCTGGAATGTGATTTTGCCACATCCCTCTTTTGCAGGTCACTGGGGCCGATGTGTGGGTGACTGCGGTTCTGGGGGCACGCGAAGCAGGGCTGTCTGGTGCACCCACACCGAGGGCTGGACGTCCCACCACGCCTACTGCGACCAGCAGGAGAAGCCCGAAAGCCAGCGGCGGTGCTTCAAGGTCTGCGACTGGCACTTGGAGCTGTTTGAGTGGGAGGTTTCGGGATGGGGACCCTGCGTGCCCGGCGGTGAGGCTGGACCCTGTGTGATGGCGCAGCACGGTCTGCAGCGCCGCAGCGCCCGCTGCCTTCAGAAGCTGGACAGGAGTGTGGTGGCCGCTGAGATCTGTGAGCACCTGGCACCGCAGCCACCCCTGGAGCAGGCCTGCCTGGTGCCGTGCCCGCGGGACTGCATTGTCACAGACTTCTCCTCCTGGTCCCAGTGTGGCGGGGGTTGCAGCATTAGCTTGCGGCACCGGACCCGTGCAGTCATTGCTCCTCCTCTCTATGGGGGTGCCCCGTGCCCCAACCTGACAGAATCGCAGACCTGTGCTGCTGCCGCCTGTCCCCTGGGCGAGGAGGAGCACACCTACAGCCTCAAGGTGGGACCTTGGGGAGAGTGCAGGGTGCCCCGCCATGAGGACGCCTCATTGAATTTGGGGGAGGACTCTGGAGAACTGAGCGCGTCGTGGCTGGAAAGCCACAAGGCACAGCACCATCCCCACATGGCGCAGGTGGGCTACCAGACCAGGGCGGTCAGCTGCATGCGGAGCGACGGCAGGCATGCCGTGCTGAGGTAAGGGCGCTTCCACATCTCTGCTTTTATTTCCTTTCTTTCACGAGTCGCCACTTTGCACAGCCTAATGCACTCACCTTCTCGAGTTTTAAATGCAAATTTTTATGTGTTTTCTTTACAGGCTGCTTTTTGATTTAATTCCCTGCTTGTGAAGCTCGCAGCTGAATATTTTGCATACTTGTATGGCTTGTGGCTGTTTAATTCATTTTATGTTTTTAATATTTCTCTTCTGGTTTTGTTTTGTGGAAACCTCAAGGAAATGGAGGTATGTGTATATCACCTCTTACTGGGAGGTGCTGAGCATGGAAGGGTTCCACTCTCAATCACCTACTGCATGTACTTGGCTGGAGAAGCTTAACTTCAACTCCTTCGTTCCTACAGATCAACACTGAATAAAACAAGAAATTTAAGCCTGACGAGTTTGGCCCTGTGAATTTGCTAGAAGATATTTCTTGGTCAGATAGATCAGTGAGCAAAGCTATGGTTGTCTTCTGCTTATGAGGAGCCTTCATGTTTGCAATGTTTCTGGTGCCAGTATAAGATCTGTGACTTGCATGTATTTCTTTGACAGCGGTTGTTGATTTCTATCCTCACGTGCTTTATTTAACAATTTCCCTTGGTCTGTGCAGGTCGCTTTTCTGTAATTCAGATGTGAAGGCTACAATAATGTACAGCAAATAATGGAAGGATTTATTCTCTGCATTCCTCACATTTAAATTCAAACAATCTGATCTCTGCCATTTGACTTCAGATTGAATTTGAGCGGATGCCAGGAGCTATAGGTTACTAAGGAATTGATTAAATTCTGAGAAAGTCAGAAGCCAGATTTTTGAAGAACTTCACCTGCCCATTTTTTCCACCATTATTAGGAGTTGTTGAAAAATCAATGACCTCTGTGAAGGAGGAGAGAAAGGAATGTCTTGACTTCAACAAGGACAAGTGCAGGGTCCTGCACGTGGGGAGGATTAACCTCAGGCATTGATATGGACTTGGGGTTGATGTGCTGGGAAGCAGCCCTGGGCAGAAGGATCAGGGAGAAGATCTGATGGGCACCGTATTGCCAATGAAACAGCAATGCGCCCTTGTGCACAGTGGTATCCTGGGGTGCATTAGGAAGGGCATTGCCAGCAGACTGAGGGAGGGGTTACTCCAGAGGTCCTTTTGAACCTCAATTACTCTGTGATTCTGTGAAAAATGCTGCTCCTGAATTTTGCAGAAATCAGCTATTATCATTATCTATGCCTGCGCAAGTTCAACTTGGAGAGATAAGGGGTTATTTTCTGTCCGATGCTCTACCCCTGCTAATGTCGGTAGTTATTTTGCACATGTACTGAGGTGAAAATAAACATTCTAGCCATTTTCTTACCTCCTCCTATTACATCTGTAGGAAGGTAAATATTTTTTATTGCTTGGAAGAATGTCAAGATTTGTGAACTGTTGTAGCAGTTTCTAAGATCTTGTCTTCATTACTTGTCTCTAAATGTATGCTGATTCTAAATACACAGATTTTATACTCACGTAGCTGCTTGACTTTAATGGAGTTACTTGTGATTTATGTCACAGTGGGACCTGCAGCAGGTTTATGTATGTGCCATGTGGTAGCTGCTTTTCTGGCCATTATGTCTCATTCTTTGTCAAAGGCTCTGGATGGGGAATCCTGGCTTGTTTTAAGATTTTCTCTCTCTTCCCTCACACTCTCACTGGCACTTTTGCTGTAGGAATGGGGATTGGAAGCTACTGTTCATACTTTGCTCTTCGCTTCACTACTGTGTAATCCATTGAATTTCTGGATGATCGCACAGAAGGTCACAGATGGTTTAGTTCTGTTGTTTCTACCTGGGGTCAAGCTGTCTACTTCCCTCATCTTTTCTGATTTTGGGGGTTCTTTTGTTTTTCTTTGTTTCTTTTTTTCAGGTGATCTAGCCCCCTGTTTGGGAACATGTGGTTCCACTAGCTGCCTCCTAGCAGAGTTTTTCTGCTGAGTCTGTGTCTCATGTATAATGCAGAGATGAGAGTAGCCTGTGACTTACTCTTACTAGGTCTGTATGCAAGAGGAACATCCGTAGTTTGCATAGTTCTCTTTCAAAAATAACTGGTTATTAATTGTAACTATATTGTTTAAACTTGGAAACCTGATACCTAAACCTAAAATCTGGCATAAAATCCAATCTGTGTTTAATTCCAAGGCTTGAATGTCACTGATACCAAGCATCCCTAACAACAGCTCCCTTAAAACAACCGTGTTAATGCCTTTCTAGTTTCATTGTGCAGCGTATTTGCTGCCATTCTCCTGAAGAATGGACCCGATCTTGCAGATGTCGCTTCACAAGAGTGATGATATTTTGGCTACTGGTAAAGAAGAGTAAATGCATTTGCATAACCCTGAAGAAGAGCTTGGCAGACAGCCAAATGTCTGCTGTAAAACTGGGAAGAATTGCTTTATTTGTGCTTTTTCATTTTCCTGGCTGAGATTTCCTATTTAGAATAACACTGTTGAGTAAGTCCCAATGAGAGTTACAAATTAAATTTCTGGGGTACTAAGGGAAGAGAGAAATATCCCTAGAAATGCTTCACCAGGTCTCTAAGCTGCTTAATTATGCTGCCATGCTGGGATTTTATCACCGTCACTGATTCCTTCTGCCACTAACTAAGAAAAATGGCATATGACATGTGTGGTCACTTGAACACCATTACGCATCAAAGAGCAAATGTATGGTCAGCCCCTTTCCAAATCTATAATGCAGCGGCAGCAGAGATGGCTCTGTGGTGTTCACAAGTGGTGTCTGATGCTTAATTTATTATCAAAGTTGATAAACTGACTGGTTTCTGATCTCAGAGCTGTGTGTCAGCCAGCTGTGCTGATGTGTGTCCTTCTGTGTGTGAATGGAGGGGCTGCGCTGGAATGGTGGTCAGGATTTTAATGGAATAGGTGCACATTACTTTTTAAAGACTGAATGATTGAATGTGTTCACATCTTAGGGGTGTGAGGTTACTGGCAGAAAACTCGGTTTGTCTTCTTCATTAACAAGTCTGTGATTAATGAGAGGAGCAAATGCGTTGTCCTTTCTCTTGTGAGATAAGTAGCAGCAGCAGAAAGTGTACCTGACATTTGCTTTCAGTTTTTCTGTTACTCTCAAGTTGTGTGTTTGAATCCAGAAAACAGGAGCCCTTGGTTTTCCACTGAACCCACAGGTGGGAGCTGTAATTAAAAATCAGGTTAAAAAAAAAAAATTAGCTTTCAATTTCATATCCTGTAATAAAGGCAAATGTAAACACTCCCATGCCTTTAAGATAATCTCAGAAAAAGTTACTGGAGATATGCACTTTAAACTTCTGCTGCTTTTGGTTTTCTGTCTTGTCATAGTTGTGAAAACCTCCTGAGTAGTGACGCAAAGGAACTTTTATTTCTGTTCCCCATGTTTGGATTAGAAGCTAGATTGCATTTAGATAAATGAGCAACTGTAACTACACGTTGAAATCCTAAATACATTTGTCTTGTTTCTTCTGACCTGATGGGTGTTCTCACTAAGTACATTTGGCGTTCCCAGTAAATATAAGAAGTTAAAGCTGGGAGCAAAACGGCATTCCTTCCCTTCCCTTCCCTTCCCTTCCCTTCCCTTCCCTTCCCTTCCCTTCCCTTCCCTTCCCTTCCCTTCCCTTCCCTTCCCTTCCCTTCCCTTCCCTTCCCTTCCCTTCCCTTCCCTTCCCTTCCCTTCCCTTCCCTTCCCTTCCCTTCCCTTCCCTTCCCTTCCCTTCCCTTCCCTTCCCTTCCCTTCCCTTCCCTTCCCTTCCCTTCCCTTCCCTTCCCTTCCCTTCCCTTCCCTTC